TAGTTTTAATCTTAGCAGGGAAAATTCAAGTTTCTAACCATTAACTGTGATAACTGTAGGCTTTTTGTAGACGTTCTTTGTCAAGTTGATAAAATTCCTCTTTATTCCTAGTATGCTGAGGGGTTTCATGATGAATAGCCATTCTATTTTGTTAAATACTTGCTCTGCATATATTGACATACTCGTGATTTTTCATTGTTAGGCTGTTTTTATGGTAGACTACATTAATTTAATTTGGAATGTTGAACCAGACTTGAATATCTGAAACAAATCTTGCTTGATTATGGTGTATAATTATTTTTATACATTGCTGAATTTGATTTTCTAATAGTTTGTCAAGGCCTTTTGAATCTCTGTTCATGAGATATATTGGTCTATACTTTTCTTGCAATATCTTTGTCTGACTTTAGTATCAGGGTAATGTTGGTCCTATAAGATGAGTTACAAAGTACTCCCTCTGCTTCTAACTTATGGAACAAATTGTAGAAAATGGGTATAATTTCTTTCTTAAATGTTTGATAGAATTCACCAGTAAACTAATCTGGACCTGGTGCTTTCTGTTTTAGAAGGTTATAAATTATTGATTCAATTTCTTTAATAGGTACAGGCCTATTCAGATTGTCTATTTCTTCTTATGTGAATTTTACAGGTTCCTTTCAAGGAATTGGTCAATTTCTGGTCAATTTCATCCATGTTTTCAAATTTTGAGGCATAGAGTTTTTCACAATATTTCTTTATTATGTATGCTCTTAATGTCCATTGATTCTGTAGTGATATCCTTATTTTTGGTGGAGAGGTGGGGTGTTGGGTGGTTAGAACCTTGCTGTTACCCAGGCTGCAGTGCAGTAGTGCAAACATAGCTCATTGTAGCCTCAAACTCCTGGGACCAAGTGATCCTCCCATATCAAACTCCTGAATAGCCAGACTGCAGGTGCATGCCACCATGCTTCACTTAATTTGTTTTATGTCTGTAGAGACAGAGTCTCATTAAGTTGCCCAGGCTGGTACTGAACTCCTGGCTTCAAGCAATTCTCCAACTTCAGCCTCCTAAAGTGCTGGGATTAGAGGCAAGAGCCACCATAACCTCTTTCATTTTTGAAATTGGTAATTTATGTGTTCTATTTTTCTTAGATGGTCTAATTAGAAGCATATCAATTGTTTTTATCTTTTCAAGAACGAGCTTTTGATTTTGTTGATTTTTCTCTATTGATATCCTGCATTTAATTTTATAATTTATGCTCTAGTTTTCACTTTTTCTTCTGCTTACTTTGGATTTAATTTCCTCTGTTTCTAGTTTCCTAAATCATAACCTTAGATTATTTATGTTACATCTTTCTTTTCTTTCTTTTATTTTAAAGTTATGGAATACATGTTGTGTGAGCACTGCTCAGTACCAAGCTTGGATTTTCTAATCTTTTCAGGCAGATTCGTGGGAAGAAAAAACACCAGCTGAGGTATATAGAGAAAAGAAAGAGAGTTTATTTACAAGGAAAGAAAAAGAGTTTATTTACAAGGATACCTAGAGATGCTCACAAACTTCAACACCAGCAGTAAAGCAGCACAGGTTTTTGCAAGTCCAGACCAAGTCACCACCAAAGCTCAGCTCGGCTTCTGCTAAACAATCTTTTATGCTTTTTAAAACAAATAAGGGTCAAGTCAGGACACTGTCCACTTCTTCATCATGTAACTAACATCCTTGAGGTGTTTACCAAAAATTGGATCTGGGAACTGGCCAGGTTCCCAGATCCGGCTCTTCAGAGCCTTTTTTTGCGTTGGGAAAATTCTGAGCTCGGAATACTCCCAGTGATAAGGAAATGAAGATATAGAGTCTGTCCATGACTTGTAAACATAATTAACTCCTTCTGTTCCATTACAATTCGGCCCTAGGCATGGGCAGACTTATTGTACACATAATAGTGGTAAGTAAATGCATCATATAAATTCTTAATGCATTGATATAAGTACAAAGAACAGCAACAACTACATATACTAACAATCATTAAAATGAATACAATCATGAACAGTGGGATGAATATATATATCACTGATGAGCGTGTAAATAACCAATCCCACCAGTATGATTACTATCTGTTGCTATAGCATGGGAATAGTCCTGCAGTTTATGACTTACTATGGTGGTTTGTAGTCTATATTCACTTAATTGTCGATCTCTTTTCTGTAATGTCCGATTTAAAGCTTCATTTTCATATAATATAGTAGTTAGATTTAAATAGGTTTCCAACTTTAGTTGGGGTAGGCTTATTGGGGTGAAAGTGATATTTTCATAGTCAATGATTGGGGTTAAATAAATAGTAGAATTATGCCAGGGAAAAATAGAGATATTATAAATGCATCCAACAAATGGAAAATCAACTTGTATATATGACAATACTTCCGATTGATTAGATGCAATACACAATGTATGGGTCTGTACTTCAAAAAGGGCAGTGTAATCACTTACTGGTAATAAGGTAAAAATACAATGATTAACAGAAAAATGCAATAGACATGGTTCCATCTGTTGTCGTAAATCAGTACATACTAATCCTTTTGTAGTTACAACACAATCATTGATTTTATATGTTATATTTCTATTGTCAATGTGGGTACCATAAAATTCTGGTTGCAAATAATAATAAGGGTATGGAATTGGCAGCACATGATAGGGACATAGCATAGTAGTATTTTGGGGTATATAATAGGTTATTATACCATAACAATATGTGGTGGTACAATAAAAGGGATTATGATCTTCTACCCATATATCTACTTGGCATTGTTTGGAGATTATAAAAAATTCAGACCAGCGTACTTTTCCTAATTGTAACTCCTGTTGTAGATTTTGTATTTGTATGTAACTAAATAAGTATTGAAGAGAACATTTTGTCCAATTAAATAGATAAGTAATATTGTTAGTAGTAGATACTATAGTTCAATTAAATACCTTTAAGAATGTCTTTTGATAAGCAAGATTAGAGGTTAATGAGCTTATTACAGTAGGGATCCAATTAGCAGTAAGGCTAGTAGCTAATGCGGCATTTTTCCCAGTATTTTTTAATTTGTATGATAAGCTATCTAAATCAAAGCTATTAGCAAGTGCGATACCTGTTCCTACTCCGCCGAGTAATGTATCATACCATTCCTGTTTTCGTCTAGCACAGGGATGTAATTTTGGGAAAGTTACATTTAATTGTAATTGATACTGCTGTGCAAAAAAGGTGGTGTTAGTACAAGCATGAGGTATACGTACAATAGTAGGTTGAATGTATGTCGGGGTTTTATGAATTATTACATGTAAATGTTGTGCCCATATGGTTCTATTGTTGATTACACTAGAATTAATACACCATAGATATGTACTAGTATTAAATGCAAATACTATAGTGGTTTCATTACAAGACAATTTGTTTCTCCAAATAGCTTTTGAAAACATGTTAGTGTATAGAATAGTAGTTAAATCTTGTTGACAACAGGAAATATTCACTTTAGAAGTGACATTAATAGTAATATTATCATCACTATAAATTATGCCTCGAGCAGGTTTCTGTCCCATCCAATAGGTAAGTGTAGTGTTGGTATCTCCACTAATAGTAAGATTGGTATTGTGACAAACTTGATTAGTAGAACAGCTGTAAGAGTCTTGACTTCTTACTTTGTGGAGTTGACCCATCCCCACTGTAGAATCATGTGTCCATTGCTGGAAGTAGTTTGGTGAGACAAGATTTGTCCCAGGGGAAATGGTCTAAGCAATCCAGACGTGAGTGTTAACAGTAATACCTGTAAGTACACAAATCTATACACGATGAAACAAATGATCAGTAGGTACTAATATAGGAGTATCAGCGGGGGGAATTAGGACATATATACAGTTATTTCTTGTGCTACTATCTCTCCAGCTTGTAATGGTTTATGGGGAGATGTTTGTACCCAAACATGACCTGATATTTGTTTCTTTTCATCAGTACTGCCAAATCCTAAATGAGTTGATTTTGGAGGGAACCTTTGTGATTCCCATACTGTGTTTTGTAAAACTGGAATTATTAATAGTTGTGCTATTTGGTGGCCTTTAGGCAAGATGATATCTTCTTCACCAAGGTTATAGCAAAGCACTTTAATTTCACCATAATAATCTGCATCAATTATTCCCCCTAAGATTGTCATTCTTTTTTGTGCCAGACTAGATCGAGCAGCTATTTGTCCATAATATCCTGAAGGTAACTGTAAACCTATTCCAGTGGGTATTACATGTTGAGTCTTGCTATTTAATTTAGTTACAGAGTAGTTAAATAAATCATAACCTGCAGCAGCATTAGTAGCATTCCAAGGTTGTATTGCATCTGGGTGGAATCTCCATCAGGAGATAGTTATAGGCTCATGTGTTACTTGGGATCTGATCTCAACTGTATTAGAGGAATATATCATCCGTTGCAACTAGGTTTGGCCACTAGTTAGGGGTCTATTATTAAGTTGTTGTAAGGCTGGTAATAAAAAGGTTTTCTACCCTGAATACATTGGATTGGTTAATTTCTGTAGTTTTTCCTTTAATAGCCCATTCATCCTTTCAATGAGGCCTGCTGCTTGTGGGTAATAGGGTATAAGATAAATCCATTCTATATTATATTGAGCACAGTAATCAGTAATTAACTTACCTTTAAAATGAGATCCGTTGTCACTTTGTATTTGTAATGGCACTCCATAATACAAAATAATATAATCTAAGGTTTTCAGAGTATTTTGTTGTGTGGCCCGTTTATAGGGACATCCAATAAGCACACCAGAATAAGTATCCACAATAGTGCATATGTAAGCGCACCCTTTAGAAATGGGGAGCGGCCCTATGTAATCTATTTGCCAAATTTGTGCCGCTTGTTTTCCTCGAGCTAATTCTCCTGTGATGATACAGGGGACATTTTGCAACCGTTCTTGGTTACAAACTGGACACTGTATTGTGATGGTTTTACATACATCTAATGGCAGGTGTATGCCTCTGTTGCGCCCACCTGTACGTAGCTTTGGCTCCTGCATGTCCAGTGTGTTCGCGCACCCATTTTGGGCACTTGGGATGATCTTCAGGGTATTAGAGCTAATTTTAGTTAATTGGTCAGTCTTCTTATTGTAAATACGTTCAATAGAGTCAGTAGGCATGTGAGCATCTACGTGGAAAACAGAAACATTAGTACTTTGCAATACAATCCATATATTTTGCCATAAGTCCTTTCCCTATAAATCATGGTCACGAATCTTCCAATTATCATGCTGCCATTGTGCAATCCAGGTTAATAATCCCATATACACAGACCAGGAATCTGTGAACACATGACATTCTCCCCCATATTCCTTTTCCAGACACAGCCAGGCTGCGTGTAATTTGGCGAGTTGGCTGCTGCCGTTTGCTCTACTAGCTTCTAGTGTACAATCTAGAGCGGGATTATATGCTATAGCTTTCCAGTGACGCTTTCCCCCTATATATTTAGCAGAGCCATCTGTAAATCATGCGTGCTTCTGTTGTTCCTTACTTAAAGAGTCATATCCTTTATTAGCCCAAACTTTACTGTCAATATGTTTAACGAGTTGATCATGATTACCTTCATCAGTTGGGCAAGAAAAAACCTTTTCACGTAGCTGCAAAACTCCAGTGGGGCCTGGTTTAGCACAATTTTGTATATACCATTTCCATTTAATGACATGGGATTCTTGGGCACGTCCAATCTTATGTGATAGTGGGTCAGAAAGTACCCACCGCATTATTGGAATTTGAGGGCGTAAGATTACTTCTTTATCTGTGGTTAAATGTTCTGTTTCAGATAAGGCCCAGTAAGCAGTTAATAATTGTTGTTCTAATTGGGTATATGGGTTTTTACATTGGGGCAATTTTCGAGACCAAAATCCTAATGGAACCCGTTTACCATTCTGCTTTTGCCAAAGACTCCAATTAGCATGTTCACTTTCTACACTAGTCATTAATTCAACAGGTCCTGACTGTAGGGGCCATAAATCTAAGGCTTGCTGGATTGCCTCTTTAGTTCTCTCAAAAGCGTCCTGTTGATCTTGAGTCCATTCAAATTGGTATTTTTTCCTAGTTACTTTAAAAAGTGGTTGTAATAGCATTCCCAAATGGGGTATATGATGTCTCCAGTATCCAAATAAGCCAATATATTTTTGTGCCTCCTTTTTGGTAGAAAGAGGGGGATGATACTTTCTAGCCTCTTCATCTAGCTCATCCCAATCAGGTTCCTCATCAGTATTATCCTAAATGTCATCATCCCAAGTATCGGGGTCCCAATCAGCTTTAGCAGTTGCAATGACAGCATGCACCTTCTTTGCATTCACCTTCCCCTTTCGTTTTTTATATTTATACTGTGCACACCATACAGCAGCCTTTTCGGCTACTCCCTGATATATTCTTGCCTGGTCACCAAGGATAAAATTCTGACATTGTAACATAGACAATTTGCTTTGTAAATCAGCCAATTCTTTTTCTAACTGCAATTTTTCCTGTATAAGGGCTTGGCGAGCTAAGTATTGTTTCCTATAAGCAGACAGCAAAATCCAGCCTTGTCTACTAATGGCAGCTAACTCCTTTCCTTCATCTACCAGCACCAGGTCCAAAACTTCACATACCTGTGCGGGATCAGCCGTCCTAAGGCGGCCGTCCCAATTTTCACTTAGGCCAGTGCTGGAGGCCCAATTACGAGCAACAGAAACAAACACAGGATCTTCCCAACCAGGAATTTCACTAACAACAGTTTTAACATCTTTTTTAAAGAAAGGCATGATGCACTCCTTCTCCCCGAATCCTGCCGACTACGCCAATTTTGTGTGAGCACTGCTCAGTACCAAGCTTGGATTTTCTAATCTTTTCAGGCAGATTCGTGGGAAGAAAAAACACCAGCTGAGGTATATAGAGAAAAGAAAGAGAGTTTATTTACAAGGAAAGAAAAAGAGTTTATTTACAAGGATACCTAGAGATGCTCACAAACTTCAACACCAGCAGTAAAGCAGCATGGGTTTTCACAAGTCCAGACCAAGTCACCACCAAAGCTCAGCTCGGCTTCTGCTAAACAATCTTTTATGCTTTTTAAAACAAATAAGGGTCAAGTCAGGACACTGTCCACGTCTTCATCATGTAACTAACATCCTTGAGGTGTTTACCAAAAATTGGATCTGGGAACTGGCCAGGTTCCCAGATCCAGCTCTTCAGAGCCTTTTTTTGCGTTGGGAAAATTCTGAGCTCGGAATACTCCCAATGATAAGGAAATGAAGATATAGAGTCTGTCCATGACTTGTAAACGTAAGTAACTCCTTCTGTTCCATTACACATGTGCAAAATGTGCAGGTTTACTACAAAGGTATATGTGTGCCATGGTGGTTTGCTGCATTTATTGACCATCCTCTAAGCTCCCTCCCCTCACACCCCACCTCCCAACAGGCTCTGGTGTGTGTTGTTCCTCTCCCTGTGTCCACGTGTCCTCATTGTTCAACTCTCACTTATGAGTGAGAACATGTGTGTTTGGTTTTCTGTTCCTGTGTTAGTTTGCTGATGATGATAGCTTCCAGCTTCATCCATGTCCCTGCAAAGGACATGATCCCATCTTTAGATCTCATTATCTAACTTATGACTGTGTTCCATGGTGTATAGTATTCTATGGTGTATATATGCTACACTTTCTTTATCTAGTCCATCATTTTGGGTTGGTTTCACGATTTTGCTAAAGATTGCTGCAGTAAACATGCATGTACATGTGTCTTTACGGTAGAATGATTAATATTCCTTTGGGCATATACCAAGTAATAGAATTGCTGGGTGAAATGGTATTTCTGGTTCTAGATAAGCAACTTTAGCAAAGTTTCAGGATAGATAATCAATGTGTAAAAATCACAAGCATTACTTTACATTAACGATAGCAAGCAGAGAGCTAAATCATGAATGAACTCCCATTCACAATCACTACAAAGAGAATAAAATATCTAAGATTACATCTAATGAGGGATGTGAGGACTTCTTCAAGAAGAGCTACAAACCACTGTTCAAGAAAATAAGAGAAGGCACAAACAAATGGAAAAATATTCCATCCTCATGAATAGGAAGAATCCATATCATGAAAATGGCCATACTGTCCAAATTAATTTTTAGATTCAATGCTATTCCCATGAAATTACCATTGACATTCTTCACAGAGTTATAAAAAACTGCTTTAAATTGCATATGGAATCAAAAAAGACTGCATAAAGCCAAGACAATGCTAAGCAAAAAGGATTAAGCTGGAAGCATCTGACTTCAGATGTTACCTGACTTCAAACTACTACATGGCTACAATAAATGTTACAACAGCATGCTACTGGTACCAAAACAGACATATAGACCAATAAAACAGAACAGAGACCCAAAATAACACCACACATCTACAACCATCTGATCCTCAATAAACCTGACAAAAGCAATAGGGAAAGGATCTTTTATTCAATAAATGGTGCTGGGAAAACCTGCTAGCCATATGCAGAAAACTGAAACTGGATCCCTTCCTTATCCTTATGCAAAAATTAACTCAAAATGAGTTAAAGACTTAAATGTAAAAACCAAAACCATAAAAACTCTACAAGAAAACCTAGCAATACCATTCAGGACATAAGGAAGGACAAAGACTTTATGATGTAAATGCCAAAAGCAATTGCAACCAAAGCCAAAATTGACAAATGGGATCTAATTAAACTAAAGAGCTTCTGCACAGCAAAAGAAACAATCAGAGTGAATAGGTAATCTACAAAATGGAAGACAATTTTTGTAATCTACCCATCTGACAAAGGACTAATAACCGGAATCTTCAGGGAACTTAAACAAATTTACAAGAAAAAAACAAACAACCCATCACAAAATGGGCAAAGGATATGAACAGATACTTCTTAAAAGAAGACATTTACCTGGCCAACAAACATGAAATAAAGCTCAACATCACTTATCAGAGAAATTCAAATTCAAACCACAATAAGCTACCATCTCAAGTCAGACAGAATGGCAATTTTTTAAAAGTCAATAAACAATAGATGTTGGTGAGGCTGTGGAGAAATAATAATGCTTTTACAGTGTTGGTGATAATTGAAATTAGTTCATTCATTGAGGAAGACAGCATGGCAACGCCTAAAGGATCTTTTCTATTATATACATTCAATGCTGTAAATTTCCTGTAAGCACTGCTGTCACTGCAACTCATAAGTTTTCAAAGACTGTATTTTTATTTGATTAAATATATTTTTATTTTTTAAGACTTTTTCATTGACTTATGTATTATGTATGAAATGTTTAATCTTCAAGTATTTTGGAATTTTCCAGCTAATGTTCTTTTATTGATTTCTAGTTTACTTCCATTGTAGTCTGAGAACAGACATAATATAATTTCTATGATTTTAAATTTGTTAAGTGTGTTTTATAATCCAGAATGTAGTTTTGTATCTTAGGGAATGTTACATATGAGTTTGAGAGGAATATATAATCAGTTTTTGTTGGATGAAGTAGTCTATAGATGTCAATTATATCTAGTTGATAAATGGTGATGCTGAGTTCAGCTATATACTTAATCACTTTCTGCCTGCTGAATCTGTCCATTTCTGACTGAATAAAAAATCTCCAACTTTAATACCATATTCATTTATGTCTCCTTACAGTTAAATCAGTCTTCTGCATCACATATTTTGATGTTTTATTGTTAGGCACATACACACTGAGGATTGTTATGTCTTCTGGGAGCATTAACCCCTTTATCATTCTATAATACCCTCCTTTATCCTTGCTAACTTTTCTTGCACTGAAGTTGGCTGTCTGAAATTGATGGAGCTACTTTTACTTTTTTTGGTTAGTATTAGCATTATATGTCTTTCTTCATCCCTTTATTTTTAATCTATATGTGTTTCTATATTTAAGATGAGTTTCTTGTAGAGAACAAACAGTTGGGTCTTGTTTTTTGATGGATTCTAACAATATCTTTTAATTGATGTTTAAAGTGATCATTGATATAGTTGAATTAATATCTACCATATTTGTTAATGTTTTCTATTTCTTGACCTTAATCTTGTTCCTAATTTTGCCTTCTACACTTTTCTTGCCTTCTGTGGTTTTAGGTGAGTATTTTATATATCATTTTCTCCCCACTTTTAGCGTATCATTTAAACTTGTTTTTCTACCTCTTTAACGGTTGCTCCAGAGTTTGCACTATTTCATTTAACTAATCCTAGTCCACTTTCCATTAACACCATACCACTTTATGAATAGTGTAGGAACTTTATAATAGTCCTAATATTTCTCAATTTTCAACTTTTTAATATTGTTGCCATTCATTTTATTTATACATGAGAATATATAAGCATATACATACACATAAGCATACATAATTGAAGGCATTGTTGTCATTATTTTGAAGAAATTGATATATCTAGTGAGAATAAGAAAACTAAAAGTATTTCATGTTCCCTTATTCATTCTCTGATATTTTTCCTTTCTTTATGTAGATCAGAGTTCCTGACCCATATAATTTTCTTCTCTTTAAATATTTTCTTCTATCATTTCTTGCAAGGCATGTCTACTGGCACAGATTTCCTCAATCTTTGCTTGTCAGGAAAAGTATTTCTCTTTTACTTTTCAAGGATAATCGTGTAGGGAACAGAATTCAAGAATGGTGGTTTTTCCCCTTAATGCTTTAAATATTTCACTCTACTCTCTTCTTGTTGCATGGTTTCTGAGGCAAAGTCAGATGTAATTCTTATCTATGGCCCTCTATAGGTAAGGCATTTTCTACCCCTCTTGCTTCTTTCAATATTTTTCCTTTATCTTTGATTTTCTGAAGTATTAATATAATACAGTTAGGTTTCAGTTTTTGAGTATTTAGCCTGCTTAATGTTCTTGGTGCTTCCTGGATATATGTTTTAGTGTCTGACATTAGTTTGGGGGAAATTATCAGTCACTATTGTTTCAACTATTGCTTCTGATCCTTTCTCTCTTTTTTTCTCCTTCCGAAATTTCCATTACTCATAAATTATGACATTTATATTTGTTTCAGAGTTCTTGGGTATTCTAGGGTTCTGTTTGTTTCAGCCTTTTTACTCTTTGCATTTCAGTTTTAGAAGTTTCTATTTTCATGTAATTAAGTTCAGCCATTCTCTCCTTAGCTATGTCCAGTCTACTAATAAATCTATCATAGATTATTCATTTATGTTACAGTGTTTTTGATCCTAACATAATTTTTAACTTTTTCTTAGTATCTTCATCTCTTTTGCTTATCCATCTGTTCTTACATGTTGTCTACTTTTTTCATTAAACCCCTTAGTATGTTAATCATAGTGGTTTTAAATTCCCATTCTGATAATTTCAACATCTGACTCTGGTCCTGATACTTGTTCAGTCCCTTCAAATTTGTTTTTGGACTTGTAAAGCTTTTGTTGAAATCTAGACATGACATACTAGGTGAAAGGAACTTTAGTATATAGCTTTTTAGTGGTTTAGTGTAATCTGTAGGGGAAGTAGAAGTATTCTAAGGATCCATGATTAGGACTTGGCCTTTTGGTGAACATGTGCACCTGGACTATGAACTTCATCAGGTTTTTCATCCTTTCTCTCTCCTTGTAAGTGGGACAAAATAGCTAGGGGTTGAAGTTGTGCATCTTCCTTCTGCTATGTGGAAAGTTGAAGGGAGCTAGAGTTGGGCATTTTCTTTTTCCCAGGTAGTTTAGACTACGATAAAACCCCTGCAGTTTAGTCTCTGGTAATTTGTTTATTTCCTCCAGAGGTCAGATCTTGTTAAGAAGAGCAGAACATACTTGTGTACTTTTAAATGGTTACTCCCCACCCTTCTCCCTGTCCACACCTGAGGGGATTTTTCTTTCATATTTACTGTGAGAACTTGGTAGAGCTCCTGGAGGTAAAACTAGTGTGTCCCCTTCCCATGACTAAGTCCCCTGGAGTTTTTAAATCTCAAACTTCTCCACACTGAATTTCCAGCAATTCATCATTTACAGTGTAGGTTTACCTACCGTGGCATTGGTTCTCATAGAAGTTTCTGCTCTAAGTTGTCATTCCCTGTATCTGCCTGTTTGACTTTTCAGTTCCTAGAGCAAAACTTTGTCCTGTGACCTCACCTTTCTTATGCAGTTAAAAAGAGTTATTTACTCTCCAATTTATGTGTATATGTATATGTGTGTATGTGTATGCACACATACACGCACACAAACTGGAAAGTCACCTGTTTTTAACTTCATAAGAAGTTAATATATATATATATATATATTTGTGTGTGTATGTATATATTTAAAGACAGGGTCTATATATATATATTTGTGTGTGTGTGTATATATATATATATATATATAATATATATGAATATATTTATTTAAAGACAGGGTCTTACTATGTTGCTCAGGCTGGCCTTGAATCCCTGGGCTGAAGTGATTCCCCTGCCTCAGCTTCCCAAGTAGCTGGACCTATAGCCACAGACCACTGTGGCCAGCTCTGTTTATCTTTTTACTTGGCAATAGGATGTGGTGGAGACTTCTAAGATCAACATGTAAGACCAGAAACCTGAAGTTCTGGTGCTAGCTTAATGATATTATTATCTACCACTTGCAGAATACTAAGGACATTTTCTAATTCTAAGCCTTTTTTAAATGCCAACCCTCTAACGATAATGAAAAACAAAGTGTCCTAAAGTTTAAATTCCAAAATAGCTTAACCACACATTTTAAATTATATACAAAATTTTAATTTGAAAGTAAATAGAGACAAATGGTCACACACCATTCATCTCTCTCTCTCTCTCTCTCTCTCTCACTGTGTGTGTGTGTGTGTGTGTGTGTGTGTGTGTGTGTGTGTATGTATGGGAAAAAGAGAAACGAGTTTGGAGGAATTTAAGTTACTTCATTTTATACAAAATTTTTGTAACAAATACAACCTCAGCTCAACTTGATCCTGGCAAAGCGGAGAATCTAGCAAATAAAAGAATAGCCCATTATGAAGTGATTGGGGGTAGTCTTTATAAAATCTACACTTTCACCCTAACATTTAGACCTTTTAAGTTAATGTTCTTTTGTTTCCAGTTTGTAGAAAATGACTTCAAATATTTCAACCTGTTAAAACTCAAATACTTGTAGAAGGGACAATATATTAATTTATTAGGTGAGAGACACTTCAAATTCTTTAACCAAGTAAGGATCCCATCATATAAACATAGCTTCTGGCCTCAACCTTATGATTGCCAGTGACAGCTCTCAGTGGAACAGGATCATAACAGGCTGATCACATGTCCAAGAACTGGCAGTAGCTTTGGGCTGAGATGGTATTTGTTTCCTTGGAACTCTTTACCTACATATTAATAATATGACAGGGACACACTGGTGAGATGGAAATTAATCCAACAGCTCTCCATGGTAACGAGTTTATCACCCACTCTCACATATTTGTTGTGGGTCTTTGATTTCGTTGGTTGTCTTTTTTTAATTTTTATTTTTCTCAAGAAGCAGACGTACCCTCTGAAAATGAGGCTTGATACAGCATTGTCTTTGGTTTGTCTCCAGATGTGGCCAATTTAACGGCTCAGTCATAGCATGGCAAACAAATGCTTTCCAGGGAGAAATCAAATTATGACATTTAAGTCTTAATTGCTGCTTAGAATAATATCCTTTTTAATGTTTAATTCAAATAAATTGACTTCATAGTTCTCTACATTTAACTTAAAAGAGCTGTTGAATTTAAAAAAAAATCACTCTATAGCATTTCTTAAAACTAAAAGAAATATAGTTTTTTATGACCTTCTTTATATTCATGAAGTGTAACTGCTATGTATCTAGTTGTATCATAGTTTATACCTTATCTCCCACATACTTACTGATGTGCAAAATCTAGTTCTTAGGGAAACATGGCAATCCTGCAAACATCTGTCATCCTGTATCCCCCACAACTACATAACAATAGGATCTTGAATTTGCAAAGCATGAAATTAGCATATTTTCTCTCTGCCAGCCCTAATGCCTGGAATTCTGCCCTCAAAATACAATTACTTTTATTTAAAGAATGTGCTCCCAGGAGTCACCTGTTAAAACTCAAATACCCATAGAAGGAACAACACATTAATTTACTAGGTGAGAGATACAATTCAATCCCACGTATGATTGAACTTTGCAAGTCCCTGTTAGTGGACTTGTCCAGGAAAAAAATGGAATG